AATATTCATTAGGGGAATTGGTCTAGTTTTCCTTCTGATTTTCCTTCTCTGTCTCCTCTTCCTGGTTAAGTATCAGCACCATATTTGTGTCATAAAAGAAATTTAGCAGGACTCTACAACCAGAGGGTAAAATAGAAATGGAAAGAATTCACCAATCACCTCCTGAAAGAGATCCCCAAAGGAAAACTCCTGGGAATATTATAGCCAAATTCCAGAGTTCCCAGGTCAAGGAGAATATATTGCCAAGTAGCCAGAAAGAAACAATTCAAGTATTATGGAAACACAATCAGTATAACACAAGATTTAGCAGGTTCTACGTTAAGGAACTGGAGGGCTTGGAATGTAATATTCCAGAGGGCAGAGGAGATAGGATTACAGCCAAGAACCTCCTACCCAGCAACTCTGAGTATAATCCTTCAGAGGAAAAAATGGACAGTCAGTGAAATAGAGGACTTTCAAACATTCTTGATGAAAGGACCAGAGCTGAATAGAAAATTTGACTTTCAAATACAAGACTCAAGATAAGCATGAAGAAGTAAACGGGAAAGAGAAATCATAAGGGATTTATTAAGGTTGAACTGTTTATATTACTACATGGAAAGATATTTGTAACTCATGAGACCTTTGTCAGTATTAGGATAGTTGGTGGGAAAAAATTTTATGCATATATAGATAGAGGGTACAGGGTGAGTTGAGGATGAAGGGGTGATATCTGGAGAATAAAATTAGGGGTGAAAAAAGATGATACTGGGAGGAGAAAGGGAGAGGTAGAATGGGGTAAATTATCTCACATAAAACAGACAAGAAAAGGCTTTCACAGTGGAGGGGAAGTAGGGGAAGGTAAGAAGGAATGAGTGAATCTTATTCTCATTAGATTTGGCTTAAGAAGAGAATAACATACACACTCAATTGGGTATGGAAATCTATCTTGCTCTACAGGAAAATGGGGGGAAAGGGATAAGATAGTGGGGGTGATAATAGAGGGGAAGGCAGATGGGGGAGGGGGTAATCAGAAGCAAACACTTCTGAGGAGGGACAGGGTCAAAAGAGGGAATAGAATAAACAGGGGGCGGGATAGGATGAAGGGAAATACAGTTTTTCACAACATGACTATTATGGAAGTATTTTGCATGACTATACATGTATAACCTGTATCAAGTTGCTTGTCTTCTCAATGAGGGTGGGTGGGGAGGGAGGAAGGGAGAAAATTTGGAACCCAAAACAAATGTTAAAAACTGTTTTCACACGCAGCTGGGAAATAAGATATAGTCAATGGGGTATAGAAATCTATCCTGCCCTACAGGAAAATTGAAGGGGAAGGGGATAAGAGAAGGGGAGGGAGGAGAGATAGAAAAGAGGGCAGATTAGGGGAAGGGGTATTCAGAATGCAACATCTTGGGGTGGGGGGAGGGACGAGATGGGGAGAAAATCTGGAACTCAAAATCTTGTGTAAGTGAATGTTGAAAACTAAAAATTAACTGATTAATTAAAAAAACAAAAACAAAACAAAAATTAAAATTAAAATAAAAAAAGAGGAAACTGAGGCTCCTCTATTAAAAAATATCATAGTTCTTCTGTTAATGCAATTTATGTTTTTGTAAATATTCATTTCACTTAAATTGTCAGAATGATTTGTATAGGGTCTTAGAGGTAGATAAAACAATAGTCAGGATTTAAATCAGTGCCTTTTGACCTTTATATCCAGCGTTCTTTCCATGAGTTCCACTAGGTAAAGACCCAGAAAGACACAGAAGACCTTTCCCAAGGTAAAGAAACTCAAATTTATTGTACTTCACATTTTTCATCATTTTCCATGGAGAAAAAAAACTCACATTTCCTACCCCTTGGGAAAGTTTCTAATTCTTGGCTGGCTTCAGGTCCCTTTCACCTCACACCAAAAACTGCCCTGAAGCAGTCATCTAGCCAGATTATCTTTTTCTCAGACAGGGTAATAGACCAATCTGTGTCAGAGTAACACCTGTTCTCATTTTTCTATCTACTTGCACATATTCCCTCAGATTCCAGGCAGGTTGCCACTAGATGGTGCACCTGTTCATTTTGATTGTGACATCCACTCTACATCTAGCCAGATTTTTTTTTTAACATTCTTTGTTACCCAAATACATACAATAATGTGACTTGCAATTACAATCACCTTTTTATAATGGATTTTTAAAAATAACTACAAAAGAACAGACAGCCAAACCCAAGTCTATGTGCATCTGGGATCTCATCCTCATTTGTCCTACTTCCAGTATTTTTTTACTCTGATTTAGAATTAAATTCTGATGTTTTTTAGGTTATAAATCCCCCAAGCTTATAGGCCTACCAAGTTCCAGAGCTTGTCTCTGGTCTACAAGCCAACGTTTGTCCCTAGTACTTAGTCCTCATTGGTTAGTGCTGTTCTATGCCACATCAGGACATGCAAAACTTCTTAGAGGTCTGTATTAACCATGTGCCCATTCCTAAGTCAATAAAGAGAAAAGACCACATCTGTCCAGAGTCTGAGTTCCCACTTATGTTTCTGTCCCAATCAGAAAGAAGTGGTCATCAAACAGAAGAAAAGTTTTATTTATTCTATTGCACATCCTTATTGTTTTTCTTTTTGTGAATAGTCATTTTAAAGGAAGGTTCACCCCTTCCTTTTCACCTCTTCTCTTCTGCAACCTAGATGCTATCAGTCAATAACAAACACTGGGGGTTTGTTCTCTAAGCCCTGAATTTAGAAAACCATTAGCTTTTAATCCAATTAATCTTCTTACTGGCATATTTAAATCTAGTTTAAAGCTCCTGAACTTTGGTTAGCTTAATATCCCTCTCTAAGCCTGTTTCCTTACTTGCGGAATATTTTAAAGATCCAATGAGAGAATCTGTAAAGCACTTTGTGAATTATAAACAGCTATAAAAGCTTCAACTATTGTTTTCACAATATAAAAAAGGTGGGACTCAATGATCTTTAAAGACCCTTCCAACTATCTCCCAACCTTTCATATTGCTTTAAATAGCAGATTAAAAAACTAATATTGCTGTTTTCTCCACAATGTTATTTTGTTTTCCTAGGATTAGGTTTGAACCAAACTGGAGTCAATTACCCTCTATTGTCACATTATTACCAATGTTTACTTCATTCTAAACTTTTCTCTAACCATGTCGTACTCTCAAAATATTATTCCAAACTTCCTACTATATAATTGGATGGTATCTTACAGGCAGTTTGGCACGGTGGACAGAATACTAGACTTGGAGCCAGAAAGACCAACTTCAAATCCTAATATAGATACTTATTATACGGGCAAGTTATTTAACATCTGAGTCTCAGTCTACTCATCAAAAAAAAAAAGGGATAATAATAGCACCTACCTCATAAGATTGTTGCGAGGATCAAATATATATAAAGTGCTTTTTAAACCTTAGAGAACTTTATGTGCACTAATTATCTTAGGACTCCGTATGTCCTTTCATTTCCTTTAATAAAAATTTCTGATCCATACACCAGATCAATGCATAAGATTTGGGGGTATATATGGTATCTACCTTGCATATTAGTTACGAATGAATGTATCTTTGTTATTATGACACTACTTGGCATAGTGTGAATGAAAGTCATGATTTCCAAACTGGACCTATAGATAACTATAACAACAAATATTCCAGTGGACTGGGCTTTCAGTGTGGTCCTTCTGCTCTGCATGGAGAGTTCAAGCTCAGCTAAAGGCCTAAAGATATGATTACAGCTATGACATTTATGGTTTTCTCTTCAAGAGGAATTCCTGATGCTGAATAAGGATTGTTATGGATAAATGTTTACTCCCCCAACCAAAATGTAAACTCTTTGTATAACAAAATGGGATACTCTCACTATGTAAAGAGATGACTCCCTCAGCCAGATTCCCTGTCACCAAGGCCTTATTTTTCCTTCTATCACCAAGGACTTAAAAGGGAGAAGATAAACTCTATCCTACAGTTAACTGTCTTTCCCTATTTTCTCTTCTCTGAGAGTACTTTTTCCTACCTTGTCCACTGTAGCCTAGCATATAAGGAGTTCAAACACACAACAAAACTACAGCAAATTCTGCAATACAACCCTGTACAGCTGAGGTAAATCAAAAACATTCTTAAGCTACTCATCTAGGAAGCATTTAAATGATCAAAAAATCCTTATCCTTCATTCCCTTCAAATCTGTGTTATTGGTCTCCAGTCCTTGGGGTTACAGTTCTTTTACTGACCTACCCTGCTTCTTAACTGTAGGCCTAGGCTGCATTCTTAAATTTATCTAAATTGCCAGGGTAGGGTCCTTTTGACCATCACATTTTGGCTTTCAACTGGAACTTGCTACTGTGAGAAGCAAAGGCCTCACTAATACAACCAAGGCTCTAGATCTCTGCGCAGAAGAAATGCTGACAGCCTTTCTTTTGGTTTTGGATATTCAGCTGAGACGGCCCATATCAATAAATACTTCCTGAGTTTTATCCACCCCGTTCTTTTCTTTTCTTCCTCGTGCCTTTGCTTTTAGTGCCTTTGCTTTTTAATGCTTTTAATATCTTCTAGACAGCAGTTTCTCCAAATTTTCACTCTACATCAACACACCTTGCACTCTTTCACCTCCAGTTTTTCTAAGAGTTAAATATTCCATATCCTGGCATCCTCAGCCCTGTTTAGAGAACCTCACTCCTTTGAAGGTCACCCCATTCCCTTTCTCAGGGAGTCAATAGCTCATATCGCATTACTGATATAAAGACAATCATTACTTTGCCAAGGAAATCCCTCAGTGTCATCCACTACAACATTTTAAAATACGCAAAACTCCACATTTACATTCAACACACCTACCATCCAGATCCCATATAAGACTGCACATCAATCATAACAACTTTTTGGTGTGCATGGTCTTTTTGTAACACTATCTTACAGTCTTTGCAGTATCTGCAGCACTTAATACAGTGCTAGACTCATAGTAAACCCTCAAACATTTGCTGAATTCACTGCATTCGTGGAATCTCTATCCAGTATGAATTCTCTTTTGTTGAGTAAATGCTGAGTGATCACTGAAGACTTTTTCGTATTTGCTGGCTTTACTGCCAACATGAGTTTTTCGATGTTGAGAGAGGGAGGAGCTCTGGCTGAAGGCTTTGTCACATTCATTACACTTATATGGTTTCTCTCCAGTATGAGTTTTCTGATGTTTTGTAAGAGATGAACTCTGGCTAAAGGCTTTCCCACATTCCTTGCATTTATAGGGTTTCTCTCCAGTATGAGTTCTCTGATGTCGTATAAGGGCTGAGCGGTCACTAAAAGCTTTCTCACAGTCGTTACATTTATAAGGTTTTTCTCCAGTATGAGTTCTCTGATGTTGAGTAAGAGCAGAGCAGTAACCAAAGGCTTTTCCACATTCAGTACATTCATAGGGTTTCTCCCCAGTATGAGTCCTCTGATGTTGAATGAGCCCTGAGCGGTCACTGAAGGCTTTCCCACATTCATTACATTTATAGGGTTTCTCTCCAGTATGAATTACCTGATGTTGAGTAAGAAATGTGCTTTGACTAAAGGCTTTCCCACACTCATTACATTCATAGGGTTTCTCCCCAGTATGAATCCTCTGATGTTGAGTAAGGTATGAACTTTGATTAAAGGCTTTCCCACATTCATTACATTCATAGGGTTTCTCTCCAGTATGAATTATGTGATGTCGAATAAGGGCTGATCGGTGACTGAAGGCCTTCCCACATTCATTGCATTCATAGGGTTTCTCTCCAGTATGAATTCGCTGATGAAGGGTAAGGTGTATGCTCTGGCTGAAACCTTTTCCACATTCATTACATTCGTAGGGTTTTTCTCCAGTATGAATTCTCTGATGGAGGATAAAGGCTGAGCAGTAACTAAAGGCTTTCCCACACTCATTACACTTCCAAGGCTTCTTCCCTGCACAAATTCTCTGATCTTTAATCAGGTCTGAATTCTGTTTCAAGTTCTCTCCAAGTGTATCACATTTAAGAAATCTCTCTCCCGTAGGAACTTTCTGTGGTGTAACAATGAATGACCTCAGGCCAAAGTTTCTCCCAAACTCATTACCTTGATGGCTTCTCTCCCCAGTTGTTTTCTTGTGAACAGCTGTGTCTTGGCTTAAATGTTTCTCATAGTTGCTCTCTAACTGTCCTTCACATTGCCAGGTTTCTTCCAACACAGAATCCCTTGTGAGTCTTTCCATTAACACCCCATGGGATGATTCTTCTTCAGAAATGTCCTGCCTTGAAATTAACTTCTCAGTTTCAGGTCTAATATCCCAATCTGAAAGAAATGAAAAATGCAAATGTGCCCCTTATTCTGTGTTAGAAGGGAACTACTTTAGTTGGAAGAGAATAATGAAACTGAAAACAATGCCTACAAAGGGAGGAACCAGACAGTATTTGAATATAGTCTTAACATTCCTGAGAGATGGGTGTCAGAGGTTTAAGATGCTGACAAAGGAAAAATGGCTGTATGCCCAAGGGTAGGTGGGGTGGAAGGGCAGCTGCCATGTCAGTTATTCCCCAGGCCTTTTTAAAGACATCAGGAAGCAGCCACAGGGACAGTGTTAATAAGGTATTTTGACCAACTCAGGGTGTGGTAAAGGAAGAGTTAACATTGTCATGACATGAGCTTAAGGAATCTGAGTGTCAGTGTGACTGTTTGGGCTGAAGTCTGGTACAAGTTTGTGGGTTGACAGAGAGCAGGAATATAATTCAGAACAGCTTTAGTGAATGCTACAGAAGAAAGTCAGTAAATGCTAGGACAAGCAAGGAGCCCCACCTGTGGTTTCTGAAAGACCACCTTCAATGATTTGGGTCCCACAGCAGAATGCTGTGATGAGAAGTTACCTAGATCTGATCTAATATTTCTCTGAACCTGGAGCAGGCATGATTATGAATGACATTTTTGTGAGTGAGTGAAGAAGTGAAGAGGGGTCACAAGTCTTTAAAGAATAAAAAAGATACAAAGTTTGGAAAAACAATAAAAAACCTAAGCATCAAAGATCAGAAAATATGAAATTTAACAGTAGCTGAAAAAGGTAGATTAAGATCAGAATGTGTTTCCTGGAAATACCCGAAGCCACCAACCTAATCCAATATAAATTCCTATTAGGGTTACTGTAACAGCTTCCTAGGCTCCCATCCTTCTAATTTCTCCTGCATTTGGCTGTCAGACTAATTCTCCTAACACCTTTTTAACCTGATTATACTCAAAAACCTCCCATGCACTCAGGATAATGCCAAACTCTTAAATCTGGCATTCCTAGCCTTCCCCACTCTAACCTGATGTTATCTCCTGGTACTAACCCTACCATGGTCCCTCTGCATCAGAGCAGCACCTGTCCTCTCTTCCAAACTCGGCCTGTTCCCTGCCGACCCTGGTCTCCCTGGCAGAGATACTTTTTCCACTTCTCTAATCTCTAGGCATCTTCCAGGAACAATCTCCAATTCTACAGACTCCACAAAGTCTTCCTCAACAATACCAGCCCACACTAATCTCTCCCTTTGATAAATTTCTAAGTACTGCCTCTATTATTTATTCAGGCACAGTGAATGTGTACGCTTGAATTGTTACTGAGCTGTTTTGAGCATATGTGTCTGCCTTATCTCCCCAATCAGTGCTTCAGAGGACAGAGACTTGGTCCTTCATTACTTATACAGTCCCCAAGTACAGGGCAAGAGTGCTATGCATAAAGCTGCCAAAAAAGCCAATTGTCACGAAAGGTGATGCAAAAAATATGACTACTAGCTAAAAAAGAATGTTCTAAAGAGAAAGTTATTCAAACCACTTAGCACCCAATTAATCACGAACTTATTCAGAATCTGCACGCCCAGCATTGGAAATAGAAGCATAAGACATGGTTCCCTCTCTCCAGCTTATAGTACAGGTATTAAGATGAGACGAACCGTGTTAAGTGCATGTGTATTGTAGTAAAAGACTAATGGGCAGGGAGTTAAGACATGTGAGTTCTAAGTCCTACATGGCTACTAACTCACTGTATGGTGCTAGAGAAGTCTCTCTGAGCCTCAAGTCCTTCTAACTCTAAAATTACATGGTTCTACATAAAAAAATTAGAACAATACCGCCAAGTATATAATCAAGTGAGATATTTTGTAGCATAAAGTATAATAGAAGTTCACAGAAGGATGGGATTAATTTAAGCTTAGAACAATTGAGAAAGGATTTAGAGAATGGGAACTTGACCTAGATCTTTAAAAATAAGAAGATGGATAGAAGAGGAGGAACGTGGAGGGACTTTTGCTGTGGAGGACAGAATAGTTAAAGACCCAGACAACAGAGGGTTCAAGTTAGACAGCAATGAGGGGAAAAAAAGGTGAAAATCTAAGGTAGGAACCAGATAAAAATAACAACAACAATAGTAACAGTAGTATTTACATTGTGCTTTAAGGCTTACAAAGCACTTTACAAATATTAATTTATTTATCTTCACCACAACCCTGGCAGATAAGGACTATATTCTCTCCACTTTACAGAGGATAAAACTGAGGCAGATAAAGCTTAAGTGGCTTGCTGAAGGTCACACAGCTACATGTAAATGAGGCCACCTATAAATTCAGTCTTCCTGACTCCAGGTCCAGCATTCCACCCCTTGTACCACCTAGCTGGGAAGGACTTGAAAATTATTGCTGAAGAATTTATAATTAATAAGGTAAGCAACAAGAAAAAGAGTCATGTGGTAACAATGAGACAACAGACAGACAGCCCTGGTGATATACTGGTACCTCTGAGACAGTAAGAGTAAAAGAAGAAGGCCCCCAGCACAGTGGTTGGACCCTCTATAAAGATTTATGTTAGGGGCAGCTAGGTGGCACAGTGGATAGAGCACCGGCCCTGAAATAAGGAGAACCTGAGTTCAAATCCGGCCTCAGACCAAACACTTGACACATACTAGTTATATGACCTTGGGCAAGTCACTTAAACCCAACTGCCTCACAAAAAAAAAAAAAGATTTATGTTAAGACTTGGACAGAATCACATAGGATAAGGCATCATAGAAGAGTTGTACATTGCAGCACTTGAGGAAGTAAACACATGATAAAAAGCAGAGTATCATCAAAGTACGGAAAGCAACAGACTATGTTACTGAACGAGATTACATTAGGAAAGTAATATTTACATAGACTAGTGTGGGCACAGTATGTAGGCAGGACTGCAAGAGGGATGGGAATAAGGGAAATCAGCTAGGAAGCTACTGCAGCAAATGAGGCCAAGAATGAGGAGGCTATGAATTGGATGATGGAAGTTGCCATTCAAAGATTTAATTCAATTCAATACCTACAAAGTTCCAGGCAGACCCTCCCCTGGTCTCAAAGAGCTTAATGGGTGAATGGACAGCAAGAAATATACACAAATAACTATGATATAAGAGGCCAATGTGACAAGTGCAGAGGAAAAGTCCAGGCAAAGTACTGAGAAACCTAAGGAAGAATAGATTGTTCAGCCAAGTCTACAAGGGCACTCATACCATGTGGACTTTCACTTCTTCACAGACACAGGAGAATCCCATGAGAGTGCCTCACAAAATATTTCAAAGCTACAACCCCCACCAACTGGTTGGACTGCTATTTCCAATGACTCCCCCCTATTTCCTACACTGACCTAGGTGACCACCTTTTGGGTCTTTTCTCTCCAGCATCCACGGCTCTTTTCCTCGTTCCAGTTGGGAGATTACATCAGGCTTAGAGATTGGAAGTCCTGTTCATGACAAAAGAAATGGATATTAATGCTGAGGATAACACAACCACTCATTTTTCAGGAAAGAGAAAACATGATAGATGGAATGGTCTGGGGAAATGTGAAGACCATCTGAATGGTGTTCAGTACTGTGCTCATAGGAAGGGTGGAGAGGTGCAATGCACAGTGATGGAAGCCTCTCATTACCTCTTCAGGTACATGCAAGGACCAAGATGCTACAGCCCAAGGCGGAGCACAATAAATTACCTATGTCTAATCAGAAAAAGTAAAATGATGCATGAACCCCTAAGCCAGCCAAACTCAGCTAAATCCTGTACTTATGAACGCCCAATGAACAAATTCACAAGGGAAAGATGTCCTTACCCAACAGCACCAGGTTTCTATACCTCTCCAACATCACATCCCTGTACAGGTTTCTTTGAGCAGGGTCCAACTGCTCCCACTCCTCGAGGGTAAATTCCACAGCCATATCCTTC